CGTTTGCAAGTCATATCCGGCCCATGTCCTATCGGGCCTCCTCAATTGATATATCTTTTTGTTCATAAATTTTTCCTCTTCGATTCTGACTCTCTCTATTCGATTTCGCATATAAGCCTAATTTTGTATCTTCGTACCTTCATCTTGTTATATATGAACTTACCGAAAAACAAATCTCGTTATATATGTTTATGAGTTTTATGTTGTTTAGGACATTGTATGTGATGCCAAATTGAAGAGTGAGAGAGAGAGAGAATAAAATTTGAAGAATTGAAGAATAGGAGGAGGATTTGATGAGAGGATGAGAAGGGGGTTAAAGAATCGTCTTGGCTTTGCCAGATTCAACATATTTACCGTGCATCATGGAGATAAAAAGATTAGACCTTGAACCATAGAATATGAGAGAACTGAAGATAAAAGAGAGAAATTTGGGAGTATAGATTTATTACTACTCTTAAGGTAATAATAGGATATCGTGCATAGTTTATTTAGATCTAATAAACCCTGAATTTGCAGAACTAAATGCAAAAATCCGAAATCGGATTCGAGTCCGTGGAAAAGGATAGAGGAGAGAGAGGGCCAGAGGTAACCAGTTCGGGTGAAGTAGTTGGTGAGTCTAACTTGATATGTGCCTTTTGATCTTCAACTCGTCGTCTTCGTCTCCTCGTTAACTTGAGCCGTCCTTGCTTCACTGCTGCTGGTTTGTCTCACTATCGGCGTCGAGCCTTGCTAGCCGGAAATATGAAAGTAACAGAAAAAATATCGCTGAAAAGAGAGTGGATCAGAAAATAAAAATATTTTGTTTATTCATTATTTTTAAAAAAAATTATTTTATGAGGGTATTTTAGACATTTTAATTGCTAAATTCGATATGAGGGTTAATTACCTAAGTTACATATAAGTTTGGGCTACTTTTAAACTATATACCTCCTTATATTTAATAAAGTTAACAATGATACCTCTGATTAGTTTTTTCATTTAAAAAAGTTAGTGAAAAACCTATATTACCCTTCATTTTTTAATTAATTAATTATGACAAAAATATCAAAAGTGGAAAATGACCAAAAACACCCATCATAACTCCCCCTTTATTATTTAATTTAGGGAAAAGTGAAAAAAAAAACCCCTTTGAAGTATTGGGGTTTTGCAACTAACCCCTTGAATTCAATAAAACCCCCTTAAACTAACAAATTATTACATTTAACCCCCTTGAATTAACAATAGGCTGCCGGAAAAGCCAAATGACAACAATACCCTCAATAATTAACCTCTCTTTATTTTGGGCCCTCATTTTTCTGTAGAGAGAGAGAGCCAATGCCCCATCGCCGTTCAAAGCTGCGAATTGGAGCAACGAAAGAGAGAAATTAACTCACAGAAGAAAAACAAAGCTGCCTCTTTCAAGAGAAGAGGATGATTCGCTTTACAAGTGGCTATCTGTCGCTTCTCCCATCGCCCTCAAAAACGGGTTGTGTGAACAGCGGTTGGGTTGTGCGCTTGGGCCGTCGATTGGCGATTGACGACGCCGGCGATTAGGTTATGCGACTGGCGACGACGATGATGGGTGCTAACAGCGGTGCGAGGAGGATGGGCTTGGGGAAAGCTTGGCGATGGCGGCGGTTGTGGTTGTTGGGGAGAGGCGGCGGCAGCGGCTGTTGTTGGCATCGGTGTGATGGTGGTAGCTGTGGATGAAAAGCGGCGGCGGCGTGGGTATATTGGGTTGCTCTGTTTTTTCTTGAAACATAAAGAGAGAAAAACGATGGATCTGTTGAAGAAGCCCTAGCAGACATTCACGGCAGTCTCGAAAGTCTCAGATCTTCTACGTCTCTGTCTTTTTTGGCCGCCTCCACGGCGGCAGTTGTGTCATACGATGGTCGCAGGTGTCACAAAAGGCGGCTTCGTCGGCGGAGCAGAAGACAGAGGCTTCATCTCTGTTACATAGAGAGGCTTGCGGCGGTGCTTGGCGGGATGGAACGGTGGTGCTTGAGGCGGAGCAATTGGGTCTCATCTGAAATTAAATTCGGCCGCAGGGGTGAAAACGGAAAGGGGGTGTGTTGCCGGCAAAGTTTTGGCCTCGTTGTAGTACACGTTCACTCTCTCCGATTGGAATTCCGTGCTTTGCGCACACCACCTCCCAGAACTTGGCTCGGCGAAGGCGACGGGCTGAAGTGGCGGCAGCGGTGATGGCTCTCCAGTTGTTTTTTTTTTTTTTTTTTTATGTAAAAAATACTCAAGCATACGTCTCAAAATTATCCGTTCAACTAAAGCCAAGCTAATTTGGCTCTCCAGTTGCTGTTATTTATTTATTTGGCTCGGCTTTGTAATTAATTGGTGGTGATGATTGGTGGTGAAAGTTTACTAATTTGGGTTGCAATGGTGATGATTTGGGTTTGGTTTTGCAGAGAGCATATAGGTTAATTGGTTTTGCAATTGGTGGTGGCTTTGTGATGGGGATGAGTAGTAATTGTGGAGGTTTTGGGTGAAGGAGCGGTGATAGTTTTGGTTGAACGTGGTGGTGATTATGGGTTTTGCAGAGATGGGTGGTGGCCACCGTCCTTGGAGATCATCTCCTTCTCCCTCAATCCCCTGTCGTAGTGGGTGGAAGGGCATTATTGTCCCAAAAAAAATTAATTTGACTGTCGCGTGAAAATCATGCTCTCAATTTTGAACGGCCAGTCGCATGATGGAGCGATCTGCAACAAATTTGTATAGTTTAGGGGGTTTTATGCAATTTTGATAGTTTAGGGGGTTAGTTGCATGTTTTCTAATAGTTTAGGGGGGTTTTTTGCACTTTTCCCTTTAATTTATTTACTACTTTCTCTCTCTAATCCATCAGTCGTCCTCATCATGCTTACTGATGCAAATATGACGCGAGATTGAAGGTCTTTCTCTCTCTTCTTGCAGACGAGCCCTTCCTTGCCCACCACCCAACCCCTTTCTCCAAACCCCCTTACCCTTTTCCCTTCACCCATCGACAAACCACCACCTACTAACCAGAAGACCAGGTAGTTGTGCACGACAATTGCGATCTAGCAACACATATCAGCGCGCGCTCAGAGTAGTGTTCCTTAGCGATGATCCAATTGAAAAGCTCACCGTCAGCACAAAGCTCCATCACCATAAAAAAATCCCAATTTAACCCACCATTACCATCGCCACTACTATTGGTTCTGCCAGACAAGGAATATGGGTTTGTGACATACTCTCCCGGAGCTACAGTCCACCTTCCATGGCCGTTTCGACATACTCTCTCTCTTTGTGACGGTGCTCCCCAATACACGAATCTTCGATCTACGGTGAAGATGGGTTGTCTCACCCACAACAGCAAAACTGACAATTAGGGTTTCGGGGCAAGGAGCACCGTCGGTATTGATGAATGGCTCATAGGGTTTGATTAGAACCAATACGCAACGTCGATCTACGGCGATGGCGGGTGATGGTGGTAATGGTGGCGATGCCGCTGTTTATCCCCTCTGCTCTTCTATATATATAAATATTGTGTGTGTGTATATATATAAGGGCAAATTTGACTTTTCATGAGTTTTGATATTTTACAATAAAAATGAATTAAATATTAAACGGCAATTTCATCTTTTCTAACATTTTAAGGGTTTGTTTGGATCCAAATTATCATAGCAAGTGTCTTGTCCAAAAAATAACTAAATTGTATATGGTTCTCAATATATCAAACTTCAGAAGGTGTCGTTGTAATTAACCCTTGATATAATGTCCTTATTTGCACAATGTCGTTGTAATTAAACCTTGATATAATGTCCTTATTTGCACACATTAAAACAATAGAAGGTTTTTTACACATCTTATTATATAGGGTGAGGGAGTTTTTTTTTTTTTGCACTTTAACCCTTACTAAAAGTAGAAACACATACAAATTATACAGTTGTAACAACGGTTTTTCAACCTCTCAAAGTAGAGACTATATTAAAGCTTTCAAACTCACCTTAACATTTAAGGCTAAAATGCAGCTCATAGGAATTTTTTTTTTCTTTCGTAATTGATACTCTCACACATCTCCTCCAGAGCTTGTTTGGCCCAAAAATCTAGAGCTTGTGAACTATTTCAAATCAATATCAACCGTCCCAACCGTCCCAAACAAGATATGAACTCAAATTTCAATATCAAAAAAACAACAAAATAACACTTTCCAAACATGCCCAAAAATTAGGGGATATAAACAAAAGGCAAAACAATGTTGGGTGATGACAACTCCCTTAATTATGCACAAAATGTAACCAAACTGATAAGAAACGGTAATTAAAAAAAAAATCTAATTTTATCTTATCTTTTTATTTTAATTTCTATTCTAACCGAAGAGATGATGAGATTGAGAATACCTACCAAAAACATAAATAAATAAAAAAGAGTTGAGATTGAAATAAAATTTGAATTAACTTCTAACCATAAACACATAATTTAGGTGTGCAAGACTAGTATAAGAATTAATTAGAGGTGAAAATATCCGAAATCTGCGGCTACTAGTGGGAGCAGCAGTAGCCAGATTTAGAACGATAGGATGAAGCTGGGAACCACCACTGTCTTAGGGTTCTTATTTCTCTTCCGTCCTCGCCGTCGAATACTGAAGTAATAAAACTATGTAAGACCCAAAAACACCACTACTTAGTCATGCTCTCTAATTCTTTACCCCCCTTTTGGGAAACAAGTTGGAATAATTATTTAGTAGTTTGTACTTTTTCAACAAGTGCAAAGACTATACTAGATATTGATCCCAAAAGATTTTGGTCTCAAATTTGCCTTTGAATGAAATTGTAGCCTTACCGGTTAAAATGAAAGGTGCCAAGCAAAATCAACTCATTACTTGTGCTGTAGGAACACATAAAATTTTTAATGGAAAATTTCAATCTAATACCATTAAACTGCTGGACAACAATTGATTCCCATTTTATCTAAAACATAAGATTGCATCTCTGTAACGCGAGTCTGCATGGCCAATTAAAAGATTAGAGAAGCGAGGACTTAAATGCATATAAAACAAAGTACTAGTTTATTCTTAACAGCACCAATAAAGCGATGTCTGGTGGAGAACCACTTCAAAATTGTTGCAAAGCGTAAATTGAGTTAAATACACCATACCAGCCAAAGAGAGAGATAGAGAGACTGTTTTCCTCAATACAGCAACAAAAGAAAAGTACGTATCACAAAAACCACTGCAATAATAAACCTATTTTACTACCTTATCTGGTACAAAAAAGTTTTATATATATAAACTATGACATAAAACTACATCCTAACTGAGACTTCAACCCTGCACCCTGTTATCTGGAAGGAAGTGAATGAAGATAGCATTAAACCTTAAACAGACAGTTAAAATCCGGGCAAAAGAAAAAATGCATCTAGCACATTTTTTGAGCAGTATTAAAATGCAGATTTTGTATGACTTCATATGCTAGTCCCTGAAAAAGGAAAACCAATAAAACAATCAGAAATCTCTTTAACACGAGCCAAAGAAAGTCAATATTATGCCGACCCATTACATGACAGTATAATAAGTAATAACTAATAATGCAAATAAAAAACCGACTATAGTATGAAATCCTATATCTATAGACTGCACCACAAGCGTGAGAACATAGGTTTCAGTCAATGAGCAACAGCTTTGAGTAAGGGAGCAAGCTTTTAAGAAACCTCGTAACAGTTGGGGCATAACAAACATGATTGAGAATTAGGTAAATTATACTCGCACCCAGGGACGGAGCTAGGATTTGGGTTCAGGAGGGGCACATCCCTTGGTTTATGGCTAACAGCAAAACTGGGGGGCATTTCGTGATATTACAGAAAATACATGGGGCATTTTGTCCTATTATAAGAAAATACATATATGAAATCCAAAGGAAAAAAAAAAGTCAGGGGAGACAGCTGCCCCCTGTGGGCATTAGCTGCCTCCGTCCTTGCTTGCACCTAGTGAGGTTTGTCCTAACTACACAGTGGCCGAGAATGACCTTACTTACACTGACCCTCCCTTATTGATTCTACGCCCCCCCCCCCCCCCCCCCCCCCAAAAAAAAAAAAAAATCTTACAAATTGAAATGACAATTTTTTTTGATAAGTTTAAAGGGGGTGCAACATGAGGACTTCCCAGGGCGTCACCCATCCTAGTACTTCTCTCGCCCAAGCACACACTTAAAAATGACTAAAACGCCTCTACAATAATATCAATTCACAAACCTTTTTCTCTCCACCTGCCCACCACTCCAACCCCTTCTCTTTTTGGTCAAACTCTCCACTGCTGTCGCCACCAAACCTCCATACTCTCTACTATCTATCTTCTCCACCAACCACTGCCACCACTCTCCACCACTACCACCACTCTCCACCACTACCACCATCAAGCGGCGGTTGGATTTCTTCTTCACATGTTACTCGACAAAATTGTCCAGAGTGGGCAATGATGGGGCAGCGGCGGTTGGATTTCTTCTTCACATGTTACTTGACAAAATTGTCCAGAGTGGCAATGATGGGGCAGCGGCAGTTGGATTCTACGGCGAAACATGTGTGGTTTATTGTATCTTTCCGTTGGTGATGGTGTCTCACGGGCAATGATGATTGCAATGATTGTGTTTTTGGTTCAGTGAAATGTTCAATCATTTAATATGGGTTGATTTGTGAATCAAAATATTGTGAAAAGACAATGGTGCAATTTTAACATCTTGGCAAATTGACACAATAGATGTTGAATTCCTTTATGATTCTAGAACCCAGTTCATTGTGATAGATTTACAGTGCATCCAACTTTCAATAGCCTATCTCATGCTCTTGAAAGGAATCCATACATGAACTCTCTATTTCACTGGGCAGCAATGAGTGCAGTGAGAATAAGAGTGTGCGAATGTAAGTGTCCTTCATGGCAATATTCGGGTTCATTGCTCAATTTTATTATATGTTTTATATGGAGGGAACAACTTTTTCATACGGTAGCGAAACAATCAATAGCAGAATATCATAATTATTAAATTTATGCGTGTGTGTGTGTGTGTGTGTGTTTGGGTATATATTAGATAGAGATTGTGAAGAGTTTCTCCTTTTGGATTCTCATTCGATGAGATTACACAATACACAAGGTTCTCCTTTGTTTGTTTACTGTATTTGGATAGGTTTAGGTTGCCGGAAACGATCAGAGCTGATAAGCTATTTCAATGGCGGCTGTGACCACTCTCATTCAATTACAGTTTAGATATTGAAGAAGAAGAATAAGAGAGAGGAGGGAGAATGCAACTCAATCCTTGAAAAAGGAAATTAGTTGATGAGATAGTGGGTGGGTAATCGTGGTTGGAGAGAGAACAAAATGAGAGAAAGCTCTGGGTCTATTTAGACACACAGAGAGAGAGAGAGAGAGAGAAGGAAATTAAGGCAACCGTGGGCCTTTTGGTTTGACCCTACTAAGAGGACAAAATTGTAATTTTTCAAAACATTCGAAGGCCAATTCTGTCTTATTCAACAACTGAAAGGCAAATCAGTATTTCAAAATTTTCCATTTAGCAGTCCTAGCTGCTAGATAACGGAAGGGATCTAAGTGAAATGCCACGTCATATTTGCCAATTACTTAATTAGTAATTTAATATAGTATTACTAACACTCTAATATAAAAATTCAATTAATTGTACTATAGTATATATGTACTATTTTAATCATTATTATAATAACAAAATAAATCACAAGAATACAGTAATAAAAATTAACATAAATAAATAAAAATTAGAAAAATAAAAATAGTTTAAGTTTAATAACAAAATAAAATATTAATAAATTACGACTTATAAGAGGTATAATTGTAGAATACAAAAGAACATAATTTTATAAATCTACAATATTGATAGAATAGTAGATCGAAAGCTTCTTAGCAATTCCTACCAACAATATATCTACATCTAACATGAAACAGTATCTATTTCAAATCTAAGTAGAGAATGGGAAAATTATTTAAAAATTTTAAATTTCCAATTGGATGAACTCCTAGGAGATTTTGTTTCAAGATGTAGCCTTGTATTGTGTTTTAGAAATCTTTGAGGCTAAATATTTTATTCTAGAAGTGGTACAAGATAGAATAAGTTTAAAATCTGCATAAGGGAAGAGAGAGAGAGAGAGCAGAGCAGAGAGAGAGTTTATAAACTCACAAGTCGAATTGGTTGTTACAGAGCCCGAATGGCTGTTAAAATTTTGTCATGGTCCATTATGGAACTGTAATGATTCTAAAACCCATCAATACAACTAGGAGGAAAGCGAATATTATAACAGTATTAGCATTATTGTCAAGTAATGGTTGTTATACCTTCGAATAGCGCCATTATTTGAAACAATGGGCAGATAATACCACTCAAGCAAACAGTTGACAACTAGCCAAAAAGAAAAAAAGAAAAGTTTTAAGTGATAACATCTAAAAAAAAAAACTCACCAATCATGAAAATAACAACAAACATGCAACCTTTTATATGACTTTAAGTACAGTAGAATAGAAGATGACAACTACTCATGTCAGGACTTAATAACCCAATTAAGTACTTAAATTTAAACAAATCAATTCTCTAATTGAGTGTGCTTGATACCTTAAACTTGGATACCACTTAAGTCACTTAAAATGATTCAAAACTTTAAAGTGGGAGTGAATTTACTTATCACTGCACAGTACTAGGGGTGGGACTAACCTGAGTCCCACCTGAAAATTTTACAAGTGTGAGCAAAGTACTCGAGACTGGGATTGTGTTTAAATCTCAGAATCTGAATGTTCACACCTAAAAGTGGCAGCCACCTGGACATCGACGTGAGCCAATTAGAAAGCTTTAAATGGATGGAAGTGTGGGCCATGAAAAACCACCACATGAAAAACTGATTCACAAGAAGACACATGAATGGAAGCATGGGTGGTTGGTTTGTGTTTGGTCTAAAAGTTCTTATACCTTGACACTTGGCAAATATTTCTATGGAAAGTGAGCTGCAAGGAGGGCTCTTTAGTTGCTGAAAATATGGAAAGTGGGATGTTTAGTTGCTAAACTAATGCGCTAGTTGCTATATGAATTGGACACATGGCAGGCGTAGAACATATGAACAAATCAGGTTCTATTATTGGGCTCAAGAGGTTAAAAGTCATGGGCTGCAATGGACACATGTTTCCATTGCAATCCTTTCGATTCTTTAATTTACTTGTACTTTAATTCCGCATGCACTTTGATTCCTTAGTTTATCACAATTCTTAATCGGTCAACAAACTCGATTCTGAATTGCAATCTAAAAAGTCCTTGTTTACAAGGCATTTTAACTTTACGAGAAGTCTAATATCTTCTTCTTAACAATCGCGTTCTAGGCTACTTGACCAAAGCATAGGAATTCAGTGTTTGTCATCCTTCTTTACTCTGGCACGCCCACCTTATCCCAAGTACTCAGTTTTATGGCCTTCAAGTGTAGGTAGTTGTTAGTAATAACCACCCATGATATGCTGAAAATCAGCCACCATTCCATCATTTACTTGCTCACTAGGTAACTTATCCAATAGTGGGCACGTGTCCCACGTTGCAGCGCATGACTTGTAACCTCTTGGACCCACTTCCATAATGATAGGACCTGATTTGCGTTTACGTTTTGCAAAGAGCCCACCTTGCAACCCACTTTCAATAGAAATAGCTGCTATGTAGACTAAACACTAACCACCCATGCTTCCATCATATCTTCTTCTGGATTAATTCACGTCATTGCCCATTTGGCAGTTTTCCATGGCCATGCTCCTATCCATATATAGCTCTCTAATTGGACTACATCTAAATTTATTACGGGTGGGATATTGGTATAAGTTTTAACTAACCCAAACAAACCCCAAGTAACCCAAAAGGCGAGAAAAGTTTATAATCTTTATGACAACATGTTATAATTTTTATCATAAAACATTATTGGTAGTTATTAACCTAAATCATGACACAGTTGCTTTGAAAGTTTGATTTTAAATTATAATTACTAATATTCAGTTAATTTATAAACAAAATAACAAAGAACAAAAAAAAGATCAGCATCTCTAACTATTTGTTTAGCGTCTTTCACTTAATGAATCTTAGGTCGACTTACCTAGGACTGCCTTTTTTGTGCTTGTCTTGTATTGAGTAAGAACATAACTAGGTTCGACCACAAATGGTCCCCTAATTGGGAAGGACCATTTTCCGAGTTCTTTAGAAATTCTAATATGAACATTACTAAAATTCACAAGTTTGACTTTTTTTTCCTTGCTAATGTAGTTGAACAACTGTAGTGAGATTTTTTTTAAAAGCCAGTATAAGGTAAATATCATTTTTCTTTCAATTATTCAACCAGTCACAAATGACAGAACTCTTCTTTTTGCAAAACTGTCTTATGTATCATTTGTATCTCTTTTACAAAACTGAATAAAAAAGACTACAAAAGTGTTCTAAACCTGGTTTGATTCTAAACACACTTCGAAACAGATTTGAAAACCTAGAAATGTTTAGGATGATTTTAAAAAACTAGAAACCTTAATTTTTACAACACCACCTGATGGTAATTCCTAACATGAGAGTTCAGTTTTTCCATCCCCTTCCTTAATTCATCCAATCCTCCATTTTTCCCTTCTTTTGATCTCCTCTCCCAAGCAACTACTCCTAGCTTGCCTTTCAAGAAAAATCCTCTAATCCACATCTGCTCCAATGATTTAAATTAGTCCTCCACCATGTCAATTACATCGATCTTCCTGAAAAGATCATTCTTAGAGAAACTAAGATCACCAAAACCTCTTTGTTCCACATCATTGGATTAGATTCAATCACAAAGTCTCTTTATCATACTATAACATTCCCAGCCTTCTGGTAGAGGTTCAGTCACCAAACTAACCCCAAGGATTGATGAAAGGTAAACTGCTCAAAAATATATTGTCAAAGGTAAAAGGCAACGTTCGTGAAGATATAATATATATATAGGAAAATAGGAAAGTCTCATGCTAGGAATGACTACCTACCAATCTACTTGCATAAAATCAAACCTGGATATGAAAAAGGGCTACAACATCCAATCAAATTAAACTTCTTCTGACAAAATTAATTCCTTAATATATAAGACTTTTAATTTTTTTACTCCATCTGACTTGAAAAGCCCGAAACCACAAGAAATTATTCCTTACAACCATTGCAACAATGACATGGTGCAATGGATGGCTACAAACACTCCACCAAAGCAAAGTGGACCTACAATAGTAACTGTCCTTTTCACCACCTCATCAATGAAATGGTTGTAGTGAATAAAATCTCCGAAACCACCTGATTTCCTAAACAACAAATCGATACACGTGAAAATTACAGAGTGATTATTATTATTTTTTGATAAGTAATGTTGTATTAGCAAGCGTTCAATAGCGTAACGCAACCCGCAAAAGCTACACAAAAGATACAGTGCTTATTATCCATAGATAAAACAATAATTAAAGAACAGAGACTAAGGCATACCATCTGATGAGCCAACCAAACAAGAAATGCTGCATGATAGGGACCTTTTCCAACACCTCCACCTTATACATCTTCAACATTCCACTATTCACCTTGTTCCAGGTCGCCACGCCACTGATATCATCCAACAACGGCGAGTGCTCAGCAAACGGCCCCTTCTTCACCTTCTTGACAAAGGCAATGCACGAAAGATAAAGATACTCATTCGAATAGTTCTCGAGTATATCCTCATTATGAATTGACTTGGGTTTCATGTATTTGTGGCCAATCAACTGCGAAGAACCGAATATAAATGGTAGGAAATGATAGTCATCGAGTCCCCAAACACCATGTGACCCTGCAGGCTCGAGACAATAAACCAACTGCAACTTTCTCATCAAATCAAGATACCTAACAAAAACCCTAGACACAACAGCTTGGTAATCCTCTTCTAAGATAACCCCTAACCTTGTTAAACAATACAACCAAGCAGCGAAATTGGTTTCATGGCCTGTACCATAATCGATCCGGCTTGAATTCCCAAAACTGTCGGCGAAGTATGGGATGAGCTCGACGGTGGCGGATCGGAGATCGTCCGGGAGGAATCGGAGCATGAACGACTCGGCATTTTCGACCATGTGATTGTGCCAAGTTCGGTATGCCAAATTGCCGTACCGGGAGGATTGTGGGAGCGGAGGAATGTCGTCGACGGATTGTATTAGGGTTTCGATGATGGAGACAATGGAATTGATAGTGGTGGATTGGTGGCAAGAATCGGAGATCTTGTGACTGCGGATGGAATCGCTGAGGGCGACGACGAAGCCGAGGAAGTTGTTGCCGGAATCGGAGCCGTGGAAGTGGCGGAGGTCGTCTGGGGAGTGGATTTTCTTGGTTGGGGTCTGGAATTGGTAGGGAGGAGAGACGATGGGGACTTTCTGGGGTTGTGGGACGGGGGCCAGCATGATGGAGTTGGAGTTTGGTGGGAGGTTGATGGCTGGGGCGCGGATGGGGCGGTAGGTGGTCGGCGGAGAGACGTCGGACCATGCTGGAGGTGGCGGGAAGGAGATGGGGGTGGGGCCGCTGCAGTTGGTGCAATTTGTGGCACCGGCATGGGGTTGATGCGGCGGTGGCGATGGGGTTTTTGGCGGTGGTTCTTGTTTCTCGGGAGGAGAGTTTTCATGAGTTTCCATTTCGAGAAATAGTGGTGATGAGTTGACGATCAGTGTGTTACTGGATTATTTGGAAGTGCAGATTGATGATATTCAAGTTTGAAGTCCTCTCTTCACTGTAGAGGACGATGGAGAGGAAGTCACAGTGTTATTCTTGGAGCATTTTTATACAAAAAAAGTAACCAGGTTGAAAGAAAAAAAAAAAAAAAAATTTACAAAAATTAAGGGTTTGTTTGGGTTGACAGGGAGAAATGAAATGAGTAAAAAATAAGGATAGTAGTAATTTTTATTGGTGTTTGCATAGATATGGGAGAAAAGAAAAGAAGGGATAATTATTGTTATTTGGATAAGATAGAGGAGAGAAAAGAAAAGAAAGAAAAGAATAGTGACTAACTTATTGTCTTAGCCATTCATGATCACTTCACACATTATTCATTTTTAAAATCTCAATATTTTGGAATGTTTCTTTATAGTTCAAGGAATGGGTAAAAACAAAAGTAAAAAATAAAAAATAAAAATAATGGGTGAAAACAAAATTAGAACATAAATAGAATAACTTTTTTGTATATTGATTTGTAGAGGGTATTTTTAGTATTACCAATTAATCACTTACTCCATTATCATTTTTCTCTTTAACTTCTCAAATTGAGAGAGAAACCAAATGAGAGATCTCTATCCTCTATTTTCTCTTCACTTAACCCACCCAAACGCACTCCCACCCTATCCTTTCTTCTTTGTTTTTTCTCTCTCTATCCCTCCAAATCAACCCAACCAAGCACACCCTAAGTACGAAGGGCATACCCTTAAAAATAAATTAAGAAATTAAAAAATAGATAAGGTAAATTACTTTACATCGGCTGGGATTTTCTTTTTATGGATGGTTTCTCTAATAGAGCAATTTCAATGGTATTTCAAAAATTTGACAATTTAAATTTGTCATGTCAATATTTTGTAAGAATCACATTAACATTTTTAAGATCCCGTGAGCATTTTGGACTATCCAAAATAGTGCGTTTCTGATCTCTAAATATATTAATATTTTAATTTTTTTAATAAATTTTATTTTTTAATTGTATTTATAACGACCATATTTATAATGACTATATTTTTCATCTTATATAAATAATTATTTTTGCTCATTTCATCACTACATTCATCTTTTTCATTGTAGAAAAATATAAGGTCCAGTTTACTTTACAATTTTTTGGCATTTTTATTTTTTCTATGTGTGGGGACACGAGCCGTGGAGTTTTGGGAGTTGTTTGTAGCATTTATTTGGGGAAACTCATATGGAGTCATTTTAGACATTTTCAATTTTCGTGCCCGGGAGGTCCTGTGTGCGGCCTAGGGCCATGTTTTCGTGCTCAGAAAAGTTTTGACTTTATTTATATTCTCTTATTTTTCTTATTAATGTGTGTGTGTGTGTGTATGTTTACGTGGCTAAATTCATATAAATGGCATGGGAGTGATTGTATTTACACTTAGGCCAAAGTGGTAGTTAAGAAGTTTGATCTACAACACAAAGGTTTCCATTTGGTACCAATGTTGCAAGCATTGAAGCACATGGGAATTTCAAACCTAGGCTAAAGCTTGGATTTTGGGGTGTCTTCAAAAGGAAAAGTTGATATATATTATACTCTTCCTCTTTATTTTGATGGTTTTAGCCTTCAATTTGGTGGGGTTTCAACCTTGGAGCAAACTAGGGTTTTGCTTGGATGCGAGGTAAGGGTGCCTAACCCATGAATTCTTACGTTATTGTGAGTATTTATATGTTTTTACATGTTATAGCATAATAAAATTGATGAATTTCAATGGTACTTGTGATGTTTAGCTTTGGGTAAAATTAGTTAGCATGCCACTATGCCTAATTAGTTTAAACCATGTGTTTTAGTATGATGACTAGGAAATTGGTATGTTCTACGTGTTGATTATGAGACAAAATTAGCGCTAGTATGCTATTCTAGAGAACGTGAATGTGTATTAATGAAATTGCCAAGTTTAAGTACTTGAATATATTAGAATTCTTTGTGTACAACCTTTCTATATGTATAATAAATTGCCAATGTGAAGCTAAATGTCTAAATTGAAGTTGAAATGCATGTATAGTCGAATTAGTTGATGATGTGAAGCCCCTAGTGATAATTTATAGTGTAAGTTATCATATGCATCGTTGCTCATGTGTAGTGTGGGATCAGATGTCCCAAAGGTTATGGGAGAATTGATGACTTAAAACCGGAATGTCGGCGGATACCATTTCCAGATGGCTTATGTTAGGTATTCTTGGCCTTAAATGGCGTTAGAAGATTCTATGCCAAGATAGATACCATATTTCTCCTCGGTGTAGGCGGACACCTTACCGAGTCAGGTTAACAATATTAGTGTGAGTTGGATTGATTCGTGTTGATGGTCTTGGTGAGAGTTGCATTAGTTGGTAGTAATGAATATGGTGTTGAGATTAAGTTAAGTGTGCGTAACATGGTCAGCGTGTGTGGACATACTCAAGGCATATGGCATTCGCGATGCTTTGGACTCAATTACTGTGTGTGTTTGTTTATTATTCGTTCCTTTACTTCTCAATGTCATTAAATGCTCACTTGTAGTTTTTCTTTGGATTCCCCCCATAGAGTATGATACCTCTTTCTTACTCCATCTTCTTTAATATGCCATTCCCGTGGCCTTAGGAGACATGTTTAAGTCATCCCTATTGAGCGAGTGTCGTTCGCCCTATTATATTAACATTTTCAGGTGCCGGAAAGAAAATTGTGGATGACCCACCTTCACACACTTGAGTTAGACGGATTAGCTTTCGAACCACGGTTTTGACACTTCTAGTTCATCATAAGAATTACCTTGTATTAAGTTGCTTCATGTGTACATTTATGTAAACTTGATGGAATTCATGCTAAGAGGAAACATGATTATGTAATCGTATACTTTTGGCCAACTCTAAGTATTTTGGCATGTGTGTGTGCCCACAACTCATTTTGGGATCCATTTGTATCTATTTAGGAGTTGGATGTGTAAATGAATGCTAATGTGATCATTTTGATTAATGTATGTACCTAAATGTGCTATGGTTTAATTGTTCTCGGAAAGATTATTATGTCTAGGATGGCTATTACAAGTTTTTAAAATCCTTTGAAAACCTCCAATGGGACCAAAGTGGTCCACATTGGCCTTGACACTCAAAATGAGCTATTTAGGGCCATTTTTATACATTCTAGCCAAATAAAACCGATTCCGCCCCTCGGAACCAGTTATAATGCATTTTGGGTTCCAAAAATTGGCTATTATCCAAATGGAACCGGTTTCATCACTCGGAACTGGTTGCAGTTTTTAGAGAGTCTCAGCTTTAGTTCCTAACTGTGGACGACCATAACCTTTTCAGTTTAAATCCAAATAGGGTCAAATTTATATCCAAAATGACCATCTCGAAGTTAGAAGTGAAGTTTCTGGGTCACGAGGTATTAGAGAAGGGGATAACGGTAGATCTAGCCAAGGTCTCAACAGTTCTAGAGTGGGAACAACCTACTTCACCTACGGAGCTTCGCAGTTTTCTAGGATTGACAAGATATTATCGCAAGTTCATCTAGGGGTTCTTAAAGATAGTAGAACCACTCACCCATCCGACTAAGAAGGGTGTACCATTTGTGTGGGATGAGCATTGTCAGAATGCTTTTGATAAGTTGAAGAACAAATTGTAACGACCCGAACACGGGGTCCGAATCGCTATCCGGGTCCTTACCCGAACCCGAGGTCATCTAAAAAGGGTCACAAGTGGATAAGGGTGGAACAACGTCGGCCGGCTAAAACTGAAAGGTTGGTCGGCTGACTGAGTTAGTCAGCCGGCCGTAACGATGGTTTCAGAAACCCAACTCACTGTTTAGCCTCGAAGTGCACTATTGGTCGGCTAGCTAGCCTTACCAGCCGGCCAACAGGTACAAAAATTGAATGGGAACAGCAAGATGATGCATCCAAGGTTCGGAACATAACTTAGCTCAAATGTGAGCCAAGGTAAACTGAAAACCTGTCCCAACTCACAGCAATAAAACATGAGATCCCATAATCATAAACGTTAATACAATTATTCAAAATAACCCATCTTCATTCCATCCATCCCAAATATATCAACATAGTTCTTAAATGTACAACCTTAAAACAAACTGAATTTCATCCATAGCATACATCCCTTAAAATACACTTATACATGCCCAAGGAACAAAAATTGAAATTTACAAGGCCACAAAATATACAATGCTTATACGTTAAGCTAAAACTATACAAAATGAAACTTGATTACAAAAGGTAACAAAATAATCCTATAATTCTGCCTAAGCCTGTAGAGGAGCGTCGTCTACCACCTCCTTCCTGTGACCTGAAAATGGTAATATAAGGGGTGAGCATAACGGCTCATTAGGAGGTGCCTAAAACATAGCTCTTAATGACCCCGTGAATCCAAACAAAGCATAGAAATTAGGAGTAAAGTTCATGCTATTTTTGGGGAAAATACAACAACAATAAGATCAATTAAACCATCATTAAGCCATACCATGCCAATGGGATGCAATGATATGCCAATGTTGCTCCCAATTTCCAAAACTTTTCCATTTATCCATTTCAAACTGTTAATGCAACCCGGCCAATAGCAGCTCTATGGCGCCATGAGAGAAGGATTGGCTAACTATTCCTGACTACAAGTCAACTCTAGGGCATCATTTGGGCCTAGGTATCTTAACCACGCTAAGGACCCTCCCTAGTTCCCTCTAGGTCATATTAACACCACGGTTCGATAGGCAGCCCCTAGGCGATAGGGTTTTTGCAAACAATTTCCCAAATCTTTCCTTTTCAAAGCTTTTTCCAAAAACAATTTATTTTCTTTTCTAAACAACTTTTCCCATTTCTTACCCAATGCATGAATGTTTTATGCCTTTCTATGCCATAACGATATAAAATTTCGTACATTTCTTTCAAACCTTTACAACATAACATACTTTGTAAGAAATTTCTAAAAAAATATACATAATGCTTTTGTATCACAAAATTCAGCACTTTAAATACATAAGGCTTGAAATAGCATCATCTAAACATGCTTCTTCACAACATAGCATTTAACACATAGCCATACTACTTAAACACATCATAGAAGTCATATTGCAAA